GGGGTACCCGTTTTTATTCGAAAAACGGAAGTATCAATTGGGAACAGTTCAGCGGTAGTGAAGAAAGCGAGAGAATCCGTCGATCTCGAGGAAAATATGGCCCTTCAAAAGTAGGGAAAAAAGAGTTTGGACGAGCTTGCCATGACGGGAGTAACATGAAGGGGTATTTGGACGAGATTTCAGTTATTACAGTTGCACAAAAAGCTGACTACATCAAGCCAGAACTGTACAGAACTGTCTTTCACTGTCGCTATGGGTCATGACAAGTTGTTTGAAATTCCTACATGGGTTTTCTTGTGATCGATGCAGCCTCTACAATAGCGGTGAAACTCGTCCGAGGATACAACGGGCCAATCTTTGACCCTTTATAACTCCTTAACTAGGCCGTTTTCCGACCTAATAGTGCCAGACATGGTAAAAACGGGGACCTCAAATTCTTCATGTGGGGGAATCTCAGGAACCATTTTCATCGTGAAATGTGCCTTTAATTTCATACACTTTTAATTTTAGACAGTTTATGAAAGATGATATTACAGTTTCATCAATATGAAAAATGTAGAGGCTTGTGACTTTTCATAAATGGTGGCATCTATTTCGATGGAAAACAAAAACATGACACTTCAGTGGAAGTGCGAAGTTTTAAATTTCGTGGCCCAAAATAGCACCGACCGATTTAATTCAGCATGCCAACTTGGTCAAATGGAATATAAATAGAACAGATAAATGAATACCAAATCAATTTCTGCCTAATCAGAAATGTAAAGAGAGAACTTTGCCTAGCTTCTCAATTCCTCGGAAATAATGTATCATTTTTTACGTTTAATAACATTTTTTTATAGTTAATCTCTTTATTCCTGATTCACAACAATGTGAGGAACCGGAAATTCGAAAAGTCAGAAAAAAATAAGAAAAAGGAAACATACGGAATGTAAGAAATATTGCCAAAATAGGAGCTGTTGGATGCCACTCGACAGTAGATCGACGATTTCACGATCATTCATGGGAATAGCCCATACTCTACTGAAGATGAAAGAGCAGCGTCTGCGATGGTATGGGCATTTGCTGAGAAGTTGATGAGGATCACCTGATAAGATAAGTGATAGAGTTCAGAGTTTAAGTAAAACCCTAATAAGAACTCTGAAAAAGAGGTGATGGAATGCGAACCTGAACGAAACCGAGGTAACGATAGAAACCGCCGTAGATAGAATGAAGAGGCGACGACTAAAACGGTGACACCTGAGACTGCTCGGGGTTAACGCTAGAGATAGGAAGGGGGTCAATAATCCTAAGAATCAGTAGACTA